GCATTATTAAAAAATATCCATTCATACTAGTAGCAAATGCATGTTTGATCACTTATTACTTGAAGAGTGGCCAGGGCAGAACCATTTTTATGGTAGTGCCGTGCTCCTGGGTACACCTGGCATGTGATAAAATCCTTGGCTGATGATCAGTATCAGAATCAGTTCAGTAACCATCGTTAACTGCCAATTTGTCTGGGTATCCCATTCCTCTAGAAAGAAAACCCCGAAGTAAAATTAAATTAAACCCTTAGGTAAGGTTAAATTTTATTCATATTTGTTCTCCCATACTCCCATGATGATCTTTTTATTGCCTTAATATTTTAATTTCAGGTCTTATTATAAAATTTAATAGAAAAGTTAAAAACTTTTTCTTAAAAATCGTAGGAAATTAACATATATTTCAATTTTTGTTAGGAGCATTCTGTCATGATATTCTGAATAGCCTGAAGAATGCCCCTGTGATACTAATTTGGAATTAATAATTATATATAGAGTCACACACACAGTAGAACTCCGGTAACCGAACTAATTCGTGGGTGTGGTATGTTCGGATTCGGAAATGTTCGGTTATCCGAACAAATGTACCGTTCATGTACTAATACATCTACAGGGTGATTCAGTCCTCTTTGATAACACGCAGGGACCTTATCCCATATGACATGTACAGAGTGAATTTACCAAAATTAAATACTCTTCGTCGTTTAGTTTTGTAAATAATTAACGTTGAAGTTGGGACTATGCGATTGTGCTGGTGTAACAGGGGCTACGACAAATGAGCGAGAGGGCTTGCCACTTCTCTGGGAAACTCGAGTGTTATTGTGTGTCCACTTGAGAGCTAAGCTCTTTCGGGTTCGTGTCTAGAGCGTTTCTCGCCGATGGACACAGTTCTGAAAACAGGCAACAGAGTGGCGTGTTGCTCATGGAGAGCGGTCGCCCTCTTACCTCCGCGCGAGGACTCGCGCCGACTTGCTCTCAGCATTCGAAACGTGTTGGAAGTGACTGCGAGCGCCTATATTTTAAGGGATAAATGGGGGAAATTCCGTGTATTTCAATAATAAATAAAAATGTGAAGATAATGCGTCTGATACACAATATAGGGCCCTGTTGTTCTGTGGTATACCACCAGTCCCAAAGACGAAAAAGACGATGCACTAACGAAAAGTGCACGAGAAATGGGATGTACCATTGATGAAGTAAAGTAGAGGTGCTACAGAATGGCTGACTTTCGTACTATTTCATTCTATTCTTGCCTGAAAATTAAAGAAAAATTAGGAGCTATTTTTAAGAAGATTTGGAAAATGTCCTAGGGGATTCATGTAAAATACCCTAATGATTTAAAGAATGTTTTTCGAAATCGTAAAGCTTCGAATCGGGCCAGATTGAATATGGGGGAAAATCGTACGCACAGTTAAAGCCATGTTGTTGTTCAGACAGGCGGAAGGACTGACAAATGAATGACCGTAAAAAATCGTTATTAGGAAACCTCAAAACGTAAATTTTTGTTGAAATTTCGCAATCGATTTTCCGCAGCATTAGGCTCGGTGTACAAAATATCACCAACACTATTTCTGTGTATCCCAGCCTGTTGGGTTGGAAAAACAAGTTGAAAATTAAATGATTAATTCTGCAAACAATCCTTTGGTTTCCTGACGTTAAATCATGCCGAAACCAATTTGTTAGATCATTAATTTTGTAAAAAGTCACAAATTTAAATTTTCGGACATCGGTTCTTAATATCGCCTACACCTGCTCCTATTTCCACCAGGCGGAATTAGTGAAGTCAAAACAGAACAAATGGTTGGTTATGTAGTTTTTTTTTTTTTTTAATACTAGATTCGTGCACTTTTCGTTAGTGCATCGTCTTTTTCGTCTTTGGAACTGGTGGTATACCACAGAACAACAGGGCCCTATATTGTGTATCAGACGCATTATCTTCACATTTTTATTTACTATTGAAATACACGGAATTTCCCCCATTTATCCCTTAAAATATAGGCGCTCGCAGTCACTTCCAACACGTTTCGAATGCTGAGAGCAAGTCGGCGCGAGTCCTCGCGCGGAGGTAAGAGGGCGACCGCTCTCCATGAGCAACACGCCACTCTGTTGCCTGTTTTCAGAACTGTGTCCATCGGCGAGAAACGCTCTAGACATTAGATTAATGCTAGATTAATGCTAGCCTCTGCTGCCCAGAGAAGTCATCTGAATAGTGTTCATTGCAAAATGTACAAATGAGGTCCATCAATTTAATATCACAAATGCCTTCATCATCACTGCCAGAGCCACGAGGAAGATCACTTAAACTTTCCCTGTCAGAAGAGGTTTTTTTTTTTGCTTGGTTTTTCTTTTTGTCGGCAACATTTGTTTTTGTTTTCCGCTGTTTGATGGCTTAGGACATTTTTGCGAACTATTTTGCTTTTCACTATAAAACGTATTCCAGCCTTTTTCTTGTATAGAGAGCTGGTTAAAACTACACTCGCCCCGCCCTTTCGTTTTCGTGAAGATGGTTTTATTTGAGGTGCCGCTCTTACTTCCTAAGGTGATACCGTGACCATCTCGTACCAACCGCAGCGTCAGTTATTGAGCTAGATGGGAATGAGGTTTGTTCTCCCGCATTGTGCTTATGTTTACTAACCATATGCATGGCCGTATGGATACGAATCTGGGAGTTTTGATTTACTTGAGATTCCTTTTACTTTCGGAAAATAAAAGTAGCAATATGTAATGTGGTCTCTGGGTTCCCTCTACAACTGTGGTATGGCAATGGCATAGATAAGTGAGTTCCATGCAACCAGGCTCTTAAAATAGAGGGAACAACAAGAGCAACAGTTCTTTGGTGACCAACACTTATTCCTCGTCTACCTTTGATTCAAAATAAAACTCGTGTGAGTTTTTGGCGATCGGAAAAATGGGATGTCTTGTAGACTTAACTGGCCACACAGAACACACAGACTTAACTGGCCACACAGAACACACAGACTTAACTGGCCACACAGAACAGAAACGATTTGGTGAATTAAGACTTCCTGAACATCGGTTAGTATAAGAAACACAATATGCACAATCAATATTTTTCGCGTTAGCGGATTTACACACTTCAAGAAAATTTATTCTCCCCCACCCCAAGTGCTTATCTCACCGTCCCCTCTCTAATCACAACACTAGGCAATAATATTCCTAAAAGAACTGAACGTGAAAAGCGCCGCGACAACATAAATGACGCAACCGATCGCAGATGAAATTGCGTTTCCAGAAAAAAAATTAGGTGATAGCGAGAACTGGTTTTCGCCATTGCCATCAGGGCAACTACATAACAATCACATTTTTGTTCTGTGGTTAATTTCATTATCGCACTGTGTAATTGGTAAACTGACCCTTTAACGTTCTCTATACTTCGTATACTTCTCGGCTTACATTTACGTATACGAGGAAATTAAAAAGAAAATACATAATTTACGGAACCAGGTAAGCAAAAAAATATTCTGAGGCCTCAGTTTCGTGATTATTTATATTTTATAATCAAGTAAAACTTTTTAAAAAAAGTCTCAAAATAGAAACTATTGTGTGTTTTGTTGAAATTTTGAAGTTATGTTAAATAATGCGTGTTGCTTACGAATTGTCTAAAATGTTGCACAACCTCCATCTTCACTGGATTCTCGCATCTCCATCGCGAACTGACTGCTCTCCAATGGACATACATGTGAAAGGTAATCTCGAGTCGGCGCGGCGAGTGTACTCTCGAGTCGCTCGCAGGTGGACAGGGTATTGCGAGCTTCTGTCGATAGTAGCTCGCGTTAGTTACTCTATAGTGGACGCTCACCTTAATACTATCCGAGAAGCCCCGGGCATGAGCACAAGGCAAATGGCGCGTGGGGTCAAGACATCACAGTGCCTCGTGTGGCGAACAATTCGTGTGGAGAGATTACTTTTGCATTTCCAGTGGATGCACCATTTTCGCAGTATGCTCTTATAATGTAGGTTTTACTTCTCTAGGCATTTCCTGCGTAAATGCAAAGAAAACTAGGAATTTTGTTCTTTGGTTTGATGAAGCCTGTTTTACAAGAACTGGCTCAATTAATGTGCACAATTTGCATGCGAAGGCTGAGGAAAATCAGCATGTTGCACGTAGTGTAGCTAATAAAGAGCGATTTTCTCTAAATGGGTTGGTTGGCATTGAGGATGAATTTATCCCGGGTCCTCATTTTCTACCCGAAAGTTTGAGTTCTGAACGTTCTGTATCTGAATTTTATAACTCCTGTATTCCCAACGCTTTTGGAGTTGGGGATTTATGCTACGAAAGTCGAGTATCGGTGACCTTCGGAGCATTGAGTGTGGCAGCAGAAATATGGGTTCAACCCGGCAAAGACGTGCGCGTCATTGAGGCGCGCGTGTGGAGAGCGAGACAGCACACGCGCATCGTTTACCTCTGGTGAGCTTTCTCGACTTCTATTTTCCAGCATACTCTATCCACCACATCTTCCAACAAACAATGTGAAGATTTTTTTTAAATTCAGAGGTGTCAATGGTTTTGTTATATATTCATTAACTTTTGAAAATCCAAAATCAATTAAACAGATTTTGACTGACAGTTGCAAATATTTGATAGTGTTATTCCATCTATTCTAATATTGTGTGTATTGGCTGAATTTTTATTCTCAGCGTTAGTATATGGCACAGCTGATGTCATGCATCAGCAAGGCTCCAAGGAAGAGGCTACCATTAATTATTTTCTGTTCACTTGCGTAATGGAACCGACTTTTTATGCTCTTGGATTGTAAAGAAGTGTTGAATTGAAGTTTTTTGCTCTATTAATGAAGACTGTTTTTGTTAAAGTATTTAATGTATTGCAGTTTTATAAGAGTGTTTTATTTGTTGCTACTTTCTGGAAAATCATTTTGTGTGTATTTGTGCAGCAGCATGTTTGCTGCTGCAGGCCGCTAGTTAATCATTATGTGTAAAATTCATATAATATATGAAAAACATTGCTCTCCTGTGTGTTACAGAGAGCTCAGGCTGCAGACGAGGAAGCACGCCGCATTAAAGCCGAACAGGAAGCTGAAGAGAAAGCCAAACAAAGTGCTTTGAAAGCTGAACGAGATGCTCAGAAGAAAGCCTTGAAAGTTCTGCGAACTGCCTTACGTAAATTAGCCAAATCTAAAGATTACTATGCTAAAGACAAAGAAGAAACGGTACACCACATGGCCAGCTTGGAAAAGATTTGTGAATCGTTCCAAGCACAAGAGTATGTGTTTGTAACCTTCTGTTATGTTGTCAGCTGTGATTGCCGTTTGATGATGTAACATGTGGATCTTCATTACAGTGTTATCTGAATCTTCTGTTATATGTAGGTTGGACAACTTAATTAGCAGACTTGCAACAGAAGGCCGCGATGCATTTGTAGCTGCAGTGAACGAAGTTGAACGTCGAATAGAAGAGGAGAGACAAGCTCTGATGGATGTAAGCAAACGTGGCAGTACTAGTGGCCCTGGACGAAGTAAGGGAGGTTGTGCCCCATGGACTCCTGAAGAACTTCAACTTCTGATTAAGGCTGTGAATATTTTCCCTGCTGGGACAAATCAGAGGTACACATTCTCCAAATTATTTTCCGTATTTTTTGACTGATAGTAATATGGTTATAATATTGGCCATGAATATCGTGGCTATACCAAACCTAGTTCAATCCCTATTAAAAATGAATGTTTTAAGAGTGCAAATCAACAGTAAACCTTCCCTCAGATAAGTAAAGCCTATGGCCCTGTGTCTTACTTTACAGCATGTAAGAGAGCTGTGCAATGACATTACTGGTTAAAAGTTCTATGTCGGCAAGATGAGGAAATTTGTCTTCCGAGTAATATTGCAGTTCACTGCTTAATTGCACTGTATGTCATTAGGTCAGCAACTTAAGCCTGTGTATCAAAACTAACATAGCTGAGGAGATCATGAGATTTGGTGTCTTGTTTGGGTTGTAGTGCTTTTTTTTTTTTTTTTTTTAATCTTTGTCAAGAAAATTGAAAATTTAGTATCAACAATAAAATTAGCACTTTGTTATGAAATCAGAAAATAAAATGGACTAAAGAGCCTTTCTGTAGCTCCACTTTTTATCAGAAAATCAATTATATGTGTAGTTTGAAATCAAAAATATGTTAGTAATGGTAATGTGTGAAATGTAATAAAAAAACACAAGCTGTTAGAATAGTGTTTTTATTATATTTCTTACAAATTCCCATTATTTATTATATTTTTAATTTCAGACTTCCATTCCAGTTTGGTTATCCTGAAGATGGCACATAGAACTGGACAAATGTTCTATTTCTATTGCTGTTTTATTGGCTGTTTTCAAAATATGTGCGTAATTTTAATTTACTTTTTCCTTTATATCTTTGAATTTATAATTCTTGATTTGAATTGTATTACCTATACTAAAGGGGCTTAGATTTATTTCAACTGTTACTTTACATATTAGTAAAAGGTTCTTCAATTTGTGCATTTTCTTACCAGTGTTTATAGCCATGTCATTCAGTGCAAAAGCTCACTAATTGATTATATCTGTTGATATTGAGTGCCTCCTATTAAACTTGTAAAAGTGAACAAATGTTTTCGGACTTGGAGGGTTCTCCATTGGTTATCTGCAATTGGTAATTAGTTCATAGTCCTCAGCAAATACAGTTGAACCTCGGTATTCCAAACTAATTGAGGGTATGGTCTGTTCGGAATTGGGTTGACTTACACTGTAGTCATTGTTTTTTGTTCATAAATTAAATGAATACAAATCGGGTTTTATTTTTTCCATTTCAAATTTTATTCAGATTATCTAAAATTTCAGATTAGCAAGATAGAACTTATTTACTTACTGTTTGTCAAGAGTAATTTTCTGATGGTGAGTTTACAACTCCAAATTTTTCTTACCAATGAAGGAGATGATCTTAGACACGTTTGTTTGGTAAATTAGTGTTGCGCAGAGATTTACTATTTTATTTATATAACAGGAGATGCATTTAATGATCCTTTCAATAATATGTTTAACATAATTTTTCACAATATGGCAAAGGCTCTACTTCATCTGGGAGGAAGGGAAGCAATCACATACAACAGTGAAACCTCTATATAACGATTTTTAAGGGACCAGAAATTCTGAATACCGTATAGAGGAAAACCCCATAAAGAAGAAGACTGTGTATATGGGCTTTTGGTTGTGACCTAAAAAAATTGAAGTTGCATAGAGGAAAACATTATATGGAGGAACGTTATAAAGAAGTTTCACTGTACTTACTCCCTTGTTTGTTTTCCTCAATTGAATGATAATTTTTGCCCAACATTTTGATTTGGTTTAGACAACATCACTCTTGTAGACACTTCTATTTTGTCAAATACTAAATACTGAGCTTCGTTACTCATAATAAGTGAGTGTTTTGCTTTGTTGTGTACAATAATTTGTGGAAAAGACATATTAATACTTGAAACCTCAGCTGTTTGTAAGCAGTGCTGCAGTTACGCCGACTCAGATGTCTTCCTAGCAGCTCTATGGCATGAAACTTCACTTACTCTTTTGAGGACTCCGTAAGATTTGTTTTACAAGGACAACTTTTTTCCCATTTTATTCATATTTTCTTTAGTAATTATTTTGTATGAAATTAAGAGATACTATGTATGTACATTATTATTGTGTGTATATTCTTGAAGTACTTTGATTTGGATGTGAAATTCTACCTCAGTATTATTCAATTATAATGTGTGTTTTGATAAATTAAGAATGAATGAGTTTGAGTTGAGCCTACTCTCTCTTTTAGATACATTAAACATTTGTTGACTGCATTTCTTTTCAAGACTTTTCTCAGTTCTAAATGTTCTGTAATACAATGTACAAATGTAAAATACATGTGGAGTACTAACTTGGGTGGCAAGTACAGAGTTGCAGCTTAGATATGCCAGTGTTTGAATATCTTTTAGGGGAAGGTAGTTTGTCCTAACTTTCTAATATCCCATGAGTACTTTGGTGCGACTATTGTGATCCCTTGCCAAAATCCTTTATGCATCCCAAGTGCCTATGGTGAAGTTAAAAATATTTTATGTAGCAGGATGGCCACTTTCCAGAAAGCTGTCAAAAGTCATGAAATTACATTGATGTGAAGGAGCCAGGGAAAATCAGGGTATTTTTAGAATTGTTACAAGTCAGGAAATTATTTGAAGTAATTATAATACTTGATATTGTTCTTCAAATAACATTGGTGCTGTGTTCTTTTTTGAATTGTTTTTATTTGGGTGGAAAATATTGTTAGTTTTGTATATTTAATAGTGAAATCAGAAAGTTGACAAATAAAGAGCAAGAGGTACAAAGCATTTTGAATCATGTTTCTGTCTTTCACAATGTAATAATACAAGAGAATCTGAGTAACCATGGAGAAAATGGCTCAACTGAAATATATCATTTTCAAACTCCACCTTTCTTGTTTTATTTACAATTTTCATTAAATACCATTAAATACTCTATAAAAATTTTGTTGGGAAGAAAGCCTTGGAAAACTGGAAAAGGTCTGAAAATATAGAGGAAAAGTGGTCATCCTATATTTGCATTACCTTTTTGTGCTTTTTGTAAGTTTATGAAAGCAGTTAATATTAACATGTATGTTTCTTGAAGGTGGGAAGTTGTTGCGAACTTCATCAACCAACATCATTCAGGAGGTGCGAATGCTCGTTCTGCCAAGGAAGTTTTGTCCAAAGCAAAAGATCTCCAAAGTTCCGATTACACTCAAAATATTTTGAAAGTGACTGCCAACAAGAAGGCGTACAACAATTTCGAGAAAGATAAGGGGAACGTTGATATTGGAGCAGCTGCTTCAGAAAGATTTGATAGTAAGATCATTGCAACAGATATTTTATGCATTTTTTTAACATTAGTTTAACAGATGTAATGATTTATTTGCTAGTCCCTAAACATTAAATATCAATGTTCATAAGTACTGCATTTTGAATGCTACCTAGGCAGTGAAAAATAGGAAATATATCTGTCAAATTATTAATATTTTTGTGTGCAATAACTTTGTAAAAAACTTTACAGTGTTGACTTTATATTTTTCAGTTGCTTTTTTAAATTTATGTTATTTGTATTTATTTTATTTTTTAATACGAGAATTAATTCTAGATACTGTACAGTACTTGCAATAAATCTTGGATCATGCAGATTATCATCTTTGTGGGATCGAGATGATGTTCCCAGTATTCAGAAATTCATTCTGATGTGCCTATCACACATGTGACTAGTGTTTTACTTCCGTTTGTTTGCTAAGTCTTATTCAGACATGTTGTTCATTTCCATTTCCATTTCTTTTGTGCATTCTTGAAAATTACATTCTGGTTGTAAAGAAGGGCTTCAGTTGGGAGATACCATGTACAACCAGGCTGCAGGCAGACAAACAATTTGATTATGCAGTTCATTGTATTCCAGTTCAGTGTATTTCAATTGTCACTTTGTAAAGATTGTCATTGTCTAGATGTATACCTTCTACATTTGTTAGCAAAATGAAAATACAGTTTCCAAAGCATACTTTTGCAAATTTCTTTTTGGTTTTACTGGTGCTCCATCTTCTCAGTGGGGGACAATCTGTAATAATGTATCTTTCACCTTGCCATTAGGTTCCTTTGGTAGTTTTGATAAAAACTTTCGTATATGTGAGTTCTGGTTGCCATACATTGAGTTGCAAAAATTAGTGCCTCTTATTTCTCTCTAGAATGTTTTGCTTGCACAGGCAATTACAACCTGTATGAGATCCAAATGCCTTTCATTCTTTTCACAAAGACAATATTTAGGGTTTATTGTTGCCCAGTATGTTCCGTATCTTTGTGTTGCTTCTGCCAAGTTTATCTCTTGATGTTCTCCTTTGCATTTTTGGCAGTCTCTGGTCATGGATATCTCTTTCAAGAGTCCCATGAATGCTGTGGATCTCAAAATTCAAGAATGAAGAGTGGCCAGCATATCTCTGGTCTTAATATTTAGATTCTGTTGTTCTCTTAATTTTCAGCAAATTCTTTGCTTCTATTACTGTTACAATATAATGGGTAACATCTGCTGTAAAATCAGCTGTCCTTTTCAATCATTTTTACCAATCATAATAATCATACAATTTGGGATGCACCATTTCGAAGATTTTAGACATTTATGGATTTGCTGACCAATAGAAGATACTTATTGTTGCTTGACTCCACTAAATCTAGTTTTAAATAATGGAACTGACAAGGAATATAAACAAGACTAATTATTACTGTGCTGTCTATGATAAACTGAAAACAGACTGACCCACCTGATATGATTGTGACTGACCAGATCCTGGGTGTATTGGATTTGGCTTGACCTTACCTGGCCATGATTAACCCGACAAAAACTTTGGTCCAATCCTGATTGACCAACCTTACTAGTCCATGACTCTCTGACGTGACTAGGCCATTCATGCAATGACTGACATGACCTTAGCAATCCTGTTTGCAGATGAGAGCAGAGGCTTCAAATTTGGAATATCTTCATTTTACATTGCACATTAGAGGGTTATCTTTGATTTCCAGGGTGTTGTGTTTTTGCCCTGTTCTAGTTGCGGGGCTTCCTTCTGCAGAGTTATCTTCAATGGCTCTACTAATGGTTTCACTTTTTGAAGGTAATTTGGTCCCCTTGTAATTTCAGAATTCAAAGCATATATCTCGGCTGGATTGAATCTTCACATTTTGTAAGTGTTACTTATCTATCCTAATTTGATAGATACCATGGGATGTGTCTTTGATTAAACTTGATACTTGGATTTTATGTTGTATAGCCTGCATGAAAGGCTTTGTTGTCCTAAGTGTAAAACTTACCATTACTGGGTTGGAATCACTCTGCATTTAGGATAATGGGGCCATTGCTGGGTTGAAGAAAAGTGATGAAAGCAAGTCACCTGAAAAGGTTCTATATTATTATTTTTGTGTGGCAGTTACTTCATCAGTAAGAAATAGGGGAATTGTGTAGTGAGGCAGTGATTCCCTGCTCTCCGTATTACTTGTTCTGGTGCATAATCTCCACCAAAATTATTAGATCTCCAAACAGCCAAAGTACTATTTTTATTAACTTTTTGTGTATACATGCTGCTAAAAAATAGTTGGAGGGGGGGGGGGGCTGAAAGTTAGTCTTTTTCTCTAGGCAGAGAATATTTGAATACTTCCAGCAGTTGTGGACTGCCATGCCAAAATAATAGTTTTTCTGCGAATATATAATGGTCTGAATGGCCTTGCATTACACAGTTGATCCTCATGTTTTTAGTTCATTTTTGCATGGGGAGTTGGCTGAATTCTATAATACTGGAATGTACCTTGTACACATGCATGACTGGAATTATCCAGTTGTGAGAAAGATTGTCAAAAGCTTTCTTACATGTTGGTGTCATTATATGCTGATGTTGCCATCCCTCGTTGTGTTAGCAATACTTTTTTTTACTGTGAGATTTTTTTTTTTAAACTAACTGATCCTTTTCAACACTACATGTTTTTCAGTAAAATTCCATGTTTTGAGTACATGCCAACAGATCGTGTCACCAGTTGTTTTGTTGTTTTTCACAATTATAAGCAGATCTGTCTATATTCATCAGCCGTTTCTCTGGATCTTAGGATTCATAAATTTTGTTGAAATTTGTCTTCCATTAGCCAACCTATTAACTGCTTCCCAGTTCCTTTCTTAGAACATACTTGTTATAGTTGCAAGGTGTTACTGGAGACATGAAAATTTTTAAGCTTTATATATAGTCTTATTCTTTCCAATTCACTATTGTTTGGGCGTGAAAAGTGCTATGGAGACTTGTCTTTATTGCAACCCGTTTCTGGAAGTGAACAGTATCTCATTACCTCTGCCCAAGTTCTTGGACCTGTGTTGTGGAAAGAATTGGAAATGTTTACCAGAATTCATTGATTTTATTGACTGCCAGAGTCTGGTAAGTGCAATGAAGAAAATTGATGATCTACTTGCTTACAGAAAACGGGAGGAAAATTTGTAATTGGCTGAGGGTTTTTGTAGTTATGTGTATATATCAATGAGTGGCAGTTTGGAAATAAGTTTACGTTATGTAATTCCTTTAAATTTGGTGTTTAATACAGTAAAAAATGTACATTTAATTCAGATATAGTTTATCAAGTTTTCTCCTCATACTTCTGTGCCTCTGGCTTCCAATAAAATTAATAATAATGATACTTCTATTGTACTTCAGTTTTGCATCGTCAGTGCTATTGAAGTTTGTACTGTACCACCGTGTTGTCATTTGTTTTTCATTCTTTGCTTTCTTATTTTACAAACTTATTCTTAGAGTTGTTCCAGCAATTCTGCTAAAAAACTGCATGATCTATTGGTGTGGGTGTTAGACTTCTGTAAAAATGTTATTTATCATGAGTGAGGGCTTTTGTTCCTCTAATGTGGTGGTTCTTTCTTGAAATATTTCTTTTTCACATCTAAGTTAATGTTCAAATGAACTCTAAATTTATTTATTTAGAGAAAAATATTTAAATACATAACAACATTAATATTACAAAATTAGTACATTACTAATTAAACAATTATAAGTGTAAGAAGAAAGTAAGTAAATAAAAATCATGAAAATTAATATTCCCAAATTGTGACAATTTATCTGCATTAGATGCAGCGGAAATTAATGTTTCATTCAACATGGATATTATGTTACTACGCCAAAGTAAACTGAAAGCTTAAGAGCGTAGGCTTCTGCGGCCGGAGTCAGTATTTATTTGGCTGTCCGGGTGACGCCGCGTCCATGGCGAAGGTGCCGACGTTTCGGTTGCCATTCTGCGAGCTTCCTCAGGGCGTAATGTCCTGAGGACTTGGACAGCCTAGTAAATACAAACTGCAAGTAATCATAAAATACTCATGATTAATTTAACCATTTCAAACTAAGTCTGTTAATTATTGCATGAAGTTGTAGTGAGCAGTTTTTTATTCTTGAATCTGGTTTCAAATGTCCTTCCTTAAATTCTACCAATCGATGAAATATTGGACAAACAATAGGAATCTTATTGTTTCCTTCAGTTTGTACGTACTTACAATTTTTATGTATTTTTATATTTTTTCCTACAATGTTTTATTCATACTTATTCAATGAGATAGTTCAGTGACAGAGGTTTTTCTCTATTTTATTTATTTTCTTTTATTTGTGAAGGCTTACTGCATATGATCTGTTGTGAAGAATGTGTGCAATCTGTTAAAGTGTCTTGATCAATAACAGCTTTGATCTTTTCTTAAAACATGGCTGTCATATTCACAATGATTTGAGAGCCATGTACAATATAAGGTGTAGATGTTATAGCCCAGTTGCCTTCTAAATATTTTCAAACTCAATAGTACATTAATTTTCTGGATCCCTGATAAATAATCTTTCAGAGGTGGTGCCTGTATGTGTCCAATGAGTTATTTGTCTTAATGTATTTAGAAACAAGTAAGTTTGAAATCATAATTTTAATTAAAAAGCTGTCTTATTCTTATTCTTTCAAATCATCCCCCTAATATAAACAGATATGTGATTCTTCATGTGTGCTGTATATAAGTGATGACAAAGTGCAGAAGATTGAAAAAGGATAGAACTTGTTGAAAACCTAATATTTCATAATAGGGCTTTTATTTTATTTTATTATTATTATTATTATTATTATTATTATTATTATTATTATTATTATTATTATTGTTATTATTATTATTATTATTATTATTTTTATTTTTTTTTTTCTAAAAATGTAACAGATAAAAGGTTTTGGTTAATTCAGAAGTGCATGGTAAAATAACTTAAACAGCAATCAACAAATCTTACAAAGAGTGACCATTTTAAAATAGTTTCTATTTGCTTTAGAAATACTCAAGGACAAGTTAGTACACCAAAAATTACTGAAAAAAAACACAAGGCAGATGCCACCCTTCGTACTGCCCTGACGGAACTTGTGGAACAGGAACAAATGGAACATTTTTGTAACATGACTTGACCAATAACTCAAGCACGCACACACAGAAAATAAAAGAAAGTATTATAGTGCAGACTTGATGTATGTTTCTCGATATATGTTGACACTCTGAAACTGAATGTGAAGCCTAACTGAATGTCTAACAGATCACACTTTAGAAGCCTCTTCAGAAAGCAATTTTTTTATTTCCATAAATTGATTTGCATAGTATTTGAATTATGTATTTTATGATGAGGATGAGATGTTTTCCAAATTTGTAATTTGGCACCCCTTGACCCCAATTATTTATTGCTTCATTTAAATTTTAGGGGGGTGCCCTATTTTGGGTTTTGATATACATGATTTGAAACATTTAATTAGAACATAAAGGAAGGCGCAAGTCAAAGGATTTTATTGTATTATACAGGGATAACTCCCTGGACCCCCCCTTTAAAAAGCATTAAAAATAAAACTTTGGTTAATTGCCCATCGAGACTAAAGTGGTAAACGCATTAAAAGTGAACTTGGATGACGTAGATAAGTTCGTCAAAGAGAACGTTTTCAGGACTTCACTTTGGATTCTAAATTTTGTAATCGATTATGAATAATAAACTTTTCTATCAAATAGTTTTCAGCACACTTTTTAGTTGAACAAAAGTTTTTGAACCAGCACCCCAGAAGGGTTATGCCTATTCTAGTTATGACTGCCAAATAATGGATCATTTTTAATAACCCATTGCTTTTACAAAGTACTTATTGCCAGTTTTGCCCTTTCTGCAAATTTCCCGCTTTATTTAGCAGATTTTAAAATGTTTCAGCAGTATTAAAAAAGTAGTATAAAAAAGTATCTAGGATAGGAGAAAATGTAGTGTATTTTACTTAAATGAAGGGGATCATTGGAACACTTCATGAAAAGCACATTATTTTCATTATTGGTTTTACCTGACTCGAATGCAGAAGTTGAAGGAATTTTCAACCACATCATCGTAAAAACTAAACACTGGATGAAGTTGCCAATGATTAATGCTTTATTGACCATACAATTTAGTCTAGGAAGGATGGTGCTACAGTTGCTTATATAAGGGATTTAACTTGCCATCTGATTATAAATTCTGAATAAAAGATATGTATTAAAGTTATTTTAAATAAAATATATCAGACAATGTATGTAGTTGTAGAAAATGTTACATGCTTAAAACAACGTTTGTAATTTTAGCAAAATTTCCAGATATGTAACTAAGGGCTTGTACAATTTTCGAAAATGAGTATTCTCGCGTAATTTTGCGTGAAATACAGGCAATTTTTAAACTATTTTCTTATATACTGCTTCAATTTTTTCTGATTTTTTAAAAATATATTTACTTAATTCCTTTTTATTTAAATAAAGCAAAGTACATTTATATAAATGGCATAAGTCCCACTTTGGGTGAATTCTATATTTTCGAAAATTGCCAAAGTACATTATTGATAAGATTTTTTCCCTCACGAAATCCATGGTAAATTTTTTAAGTAAGGTCACGTACAATTGTTTGAGAATAGAAGAGTTTTTTCTCGTGTTTTAGGCTACAGTAAAGGCAAATTGTTGTATTAAAAAATATCAAAAACGGCTGCAATATTTCCCCCTCGTAAGAAGCTTAAAATGCGGCGCAAGTCTAATTGAATGCTTAAACTTCACCTCGGGGTAGCTCGGAACAACGATCCACCATCGACTGACTGCTGCTTTGCTGGGGTCGGGGTACAGTCCCTATGCCTTTCCTGCCAGTCTCTTCGGTGGCCGTTGCGCCTTCCAGATCGGCGGGGAAGGTAGGGGAGGCACTAACGGCCCTTTCCTAGCACGGTTCTTGCTCTCGGCCGACCGCCGTCGCCTGGCCTGCGCCTGATGGCGCCTCCCGGCTGCCTGTCTAGCCCGGGACATAACTCTCGGCCCGTCAGTAGGCCACAGGTCCCTGTCTGCATGGTACCCAGTGTGCTCTCTGCCTCACTCGTGGGCACAAATGCTGTATATACAGTAGTAGCTTTGCTATTCGTTGCAATCTTGGGAAAATTGTTCCCCCGCTCGATTTATTGCTATCACTTGCACTTATCAAATTTACTGTTTAGGCACAGTGGAGCTACCCGAGGAATCTACTGGTTCTGCGCAGCTGTCGGTTTTGGGGTTTCCCCCCTCTCGGCAGGTAAGCGTTGCAACTAGTCACAGTAGGAATCATCGGACGTCCAGCACAAGTCATTCTCTTTCGTTTCATCGTGATTCGTGACCAGCCTCTGAAACTGGATCTTGGAATATTTTGCGTCAGGATTATAATGATTTGAACGACCGGTTCGAAAGAAACCATGCAATGAACAGTGTAAATGGGCGAGTGCGAAAGAACAAAGAAGGCGAAGAAACATTTGCGGTTCCGTGGAAACTGCGAGTTTTCACTGTACATAATATTGTAACAAGTTACACCGGCAGAGTTATCTCAGCTGTCTCTGCAGCGATTATGGCGAGGACGTAGAGCTCGTGTCCCGACGGTGGTGGATTTTTGACGCTAGCCAGATAGTTAGGTCGAAGAAGAATTGTAGGCCACGAACCACGCACGATCTTTCCTTCCTCTTCCTTATCCTAATCTCTGCCCGTACACCCACTTACACTTACGCGCACTACACCACCACATATTGTGCGGCAGTGTCAGAGGCTTGTAACTTAGATCAGTAAGGACGCTACTGTAGCCTATAGGATCTCTAGGCTGGGAGGTACCCCGATTGGGGAGATACCAGGAAGGGAAATCCCTTGTAAGCCGACTTGTCGGCGCCGGATCTCACCATTGAGTGGGGTGGAATACCGTCTCCTGCCGGAAAAAAGTTCACTACACATGAATGGCTGTAGCAGTTGACATGGCCGGAAACAAACAAACTGACAGGTTTCTGTCAGAAAAATAATGAATTATATGATGCTTTGTAGGAATAAAGTCGTAGTTACTATTCAGAAGCAAACTAGAGTGTGCATAAACAATCGCGCTAAGGATGCAACTGCCAAGCTACGAAAACTGCACGACTACCTGGTCGATGACTACGTCCAAGAGTCCTACATTCAATAACATCATAAAAGTTTGTTGTTTTTTTTCTTTTCTTTCTTTCTTTTTTTTTTCTTTTTTCAGTTTGGTTGCTATTCTATTATTTCATATTCTCCATTTGTCTTCTAGTGCATGAAATTCATTTGTAATCTTTTTAATGTAGTTTTTAATGTGTCTTCTGTAACAGCATCTGTAGGACATCTTTGCCCTTTCTCTTCTACTCCAAAAACCTTTTCAACCTCTTTATCTCCTCTTCCATTCTAGTGTCTCATTGCTCTGTTCACTTGCTTGAACAACTGATGCTACTCTAACAATAGGATATTTGGGACTTTTAATCCTTCTCTATTATTGAACTTTGTCTTGTTTGTGGTATATTTACTTGCCCAGTTTGCCATTCAACTTGGATCCACATCCCATTCCCATCCTTCCCATTCCTTCCCATTTCCCATTCCTTCCCATTTCCCATTCCTTCCCATTTCCCATTCCTTCCCATTCCCATCCCTTCCCATTCCCATTCCCATCTCATTGTGGATTTCCATTCTTTCTTCCTCCTTGTTATTTTCCATACCCTGTATCTACCCTGAGCAGTAGGGCCAATGGACGATTTCCTTTGAGATTATCCTTATGTTTCTGTAGTTTGCTTGTGTATTACATTGATACACCAGAATTTTCATTAACATCAGTAAATCCCCAACAGCCAGTAAATTGATTTGGAATTAGTTTGATTTATTATTGTGAAACCAAAAGTATTTGTATTAGTAGTAACCAATTTGTTGTTGGTACTGCAGTTGTAATAGTAGTATTAGCAGTTGTTGTAGTTATTGTTGTAATTATTGTAGTAGAAGAAATCATTGTAGCTTTAGTAGTTGTTTTTATGTTAGCAGTTAAGATTATTTTCCTTTATATTGTTTATTTTGTTATAACTATGAACTTCTCCTTCAATGATAGCTACATAACAAAGTGATAACTGTTTTTAAAGAGCAGTTCCGAGGTAATATATTTTCTAAATATCTTACAATGTGGTATAAGTAATTAAATTTATTCATATTGGTTATCTAATAAAGCGTAATGATTTGTAGCTCCTGCAGAGCAACAAGGTGTGTCTATGGCACCATGGACTGCTACAGAACAACAGTTATTAGAACAAGCTCTGAAAACGTATCCTTCAACTACACCAGAGCGTTGGGAGAAAATTGCTGAGTGCATACCAACTCGCAGCAAGAAGGATTGCATGCGACGATACAAGGTACTTTGTTTCATGTCTGCTGTGTTTGTTCTCATACGCTAGGTCAGGGGATTTCAAACGTTTTTTTTTTTTTTTTGTCCACGGCTACCTTGACCTAAACGAAACATCCAGAGGCTCCCCCTGGTAACAATAAGTTTCAAATATTGACAATTGTATTGACCATTTATAGTTACAAATATTGTTAAGGGAATAGTCCTACCAAAGAGTCAACACAATTGGGTGATATAATACGTTATTGGTAAAGGACTGGCCAGGTTCGATTAATCCACAATTAATTAGTAAAATAAATAATATATATTACAAATAACATATAGAACAATAGTACAAAAGCATTTTGTAGATATTAATGTACCAAGAATTATATTAAATCAAATCTAAAAATGATTTTCGACAAATCTCCGCAACGCATTACTATATGGCTGCGATGACCCTGGGAGCCACGACGCACAGTTTGAAAACCCCTGTGCTAGGTTCTTGTTTGTCATTATTTTACATAATGGGATTTAAATCTATGACTTTATCAATAGTATTGTCTTTGTTTCAGGAATTAGTTGAAATGGTAAAAGCCAAAAAGGCTGCCCAAGCTGCTGCAGCAACTGTTGGTCAAAAAGTTAAATGACGCCGACTGGATCTTATAAATTTGCAATTTTTCGATCGATTTTTAACCATTGATCGTTATTAATAATCAATATAAACTTTTTTATTATGTTTTGTGTATTTTTATTGAATTCCTTGAAAATGTTTCTCTTGATGATATGTAGCTTTTTTGAACATAGTAGCTTACAAGCAGTTCAACAGGTTTTTATTTGAAATTCATTTTTCTGTGTAAAATTCCTTGTAATACCTTACAATGAATTATTTGTAAGGTGATGTTTAATTTCAGAATTGTAAAATTCTCGCCAAAAAGCAAGTTTATATACATAATAATTATTGTCATTAAAATATTTTTTCACAGTATGCATGATATTTGTTTTTTATTAAAAAACCTAATTTGTTCATTAAATGTATTATAGTGCAAGTACAAATTTAAGTATAATTTCAACACAGTTTTAATTAGGATATGTGTGTTTAAAAATAGTGCAAAATATTACTTCAAGTAAAAACCTGCTGAACTGGAGAGTATAATTTATTTGTTGCTTCCTAAGGATATGGACATGACTAAGATGCTTCACTGCTCATGGTGGAAGTTGGGGTGACTTTAACATTATAATCAGTGGGGTTGTGTGTCACCATCAGTTTTGTAGATAGGAGCACAAAGGCAGAATGTTATTGAAGATGTGATCCCTAAATATCTATATACCCTAGTTAAAACCTTGAATACTAAGATTTATTTGTGAAATTACTCAAACCTCTTGTTATTTCAAAAATATTTAAAGCGCACACACTCGGCCAAGAAAGGCGGGTCAACCACAGAGGTTGAAGTAATGTGTATTTTACGGATCCATAGATTTAACTTTATTTTCTGCGGGAATGCACTCGTAGGATTTCCTTATGAAGAAATATGCCATAATCTGTCTCCTCTTTGTGTTCCTCCAATCTAGGTTAGCTGGGCATGGACTCGGCTTGAAAAATACCAAGAATTGAGTATTCCCTATTAATATAGGTCATGTGAATGTCAGTCTTTGATGCATCTCTTATCAATGGGCATTCATTTGTGCGCGTGGCTCCAGGAGACAATAAGGGCACCAGCCCCAGGGAGAATTACAACCCTGGTGATGGGCTTCACTGTGGGCCATATTCTCCACTTCCTCCCAATTCACACGCATTCGGATAGGAATCTGGATTAATGGCAGGATGTGAATGTATTTGGCGTCTTTAATGCCTACTGCTTTTGACTTTAGGAACCTGGGTAGTGGGCATCAGCAAAGAGATTCATCGGGTCTTGAAGGTGATCAAGTGGAAAATATCTTCTAGCCATGTTTGGAACTAATACCTGCCCAATTTCAAAAGTCGCTGCACAGCAAAACAGAACCAGAACCGATCCCTGCTCACTCCTCAAATGCATTGCCGTTGCTCTAAAGACAGACTGGTACCACAAAGATACAGCTGGGTGCACTTGCAAAACTACTAGCACTGGGCAGGGCAGGAGCTTCCCCTGAAGGTCAGGGAGAAAACAATTATCCTTCGGCTACACCTGAGTAAAAGAGGTGATGCTGGTATGATTGGATAGAGTGCCTTTAGTCTAAAGGTAATGATGGAATTGGAGGCTGGGAGAACTGCAAAATCCAGAGAAAAGCTGCGAACATGCTTTGCATAGCTCTGGGTGTGTAACGGGGACCCAGCGACGGATGGTGATAGAGCTGACTGCTACGCCATTGTTGGCATGCCTTGTGTAAAAACCTGTGAAGCTAAGTACAGTCTGAGCCTTAAAGAAGCACGTCTGACATATTTTGCTGTAAGGCAGTGATTGCCACCGAAGTGATACTAAATAATGCACGAGGAGGTGGCTGCTTTCTAACACTTCCAATCGATAAAATTAAATTATTAAAAAATATCCCAGTGGTATTTATTTGGTCTTTAGAATTAAGAAATAAATTTACAAATGGAATTGCCAGAACTATATAAATTTAGGAGTTCATTTCAAAACAACTTAAGTGAAATATTTTCTAAATTGCGATTTTATACTATTCCTTTTATTTCAAGCTAATAGGAATGAAAGAAATATATATATATA